CCAGTCTGGGGACACACTCATCTCCCGCTCCCCAAATCCCATCCAAACTGTCTATTTTTACATCTTCACTGAAGCAAACCTAAACATCTTTTTTTTTTTGCTGTTGTCTTCAGTTTTCAGAAATTATTGCTTTAACTTTTCTCTCTATTTTTTCCACCACCTTCTTTTATTTTGTTATTTTTTTGAACAATAAAGAAAAAGTTGGAAACGGTAAATCCACAAGATTAGAAACTACTGATATTAAAAAAAAGTTGCAAAGATCAAGGTCCTGGTGACCTTTAAATAGTCCTGTTATGTGTTTCCCTTCTATTTACAGTTGAGGTTTGGCACACAATCTCCAACCAGATGAGGTTAAGGTAGTGCTTCTGTTCAAATCGCGGCTGCAGCTTAGCAGCTCAGCCAGACATTAAGCAAGAGCCCTAATTTTGAAGGACCACAATGGAGCTTGATGGAAACCAACGAGATCCCACGGGCCTCTCCAGACGGGGGTCCAAAACCACCTCTGTGTCAGTTAAAACGAGCCGAGCTGATGACAGACAGGCAGACCATAACTGACGAGAACCGGGGCTCACATGTTACACTCTGTTTGTTCTGTACCGACTCCAAAATATGTGAGATGTGGAGGCAAGGCGGCGTTGTAAAGGGAGACGGAGGAGACGAGAGATGGGAAACGAGTAGGAGTAAAGGGGTGAAGGAATGAGAGGAGGTGAAAGGGGTTGACACTGAGTAAGAGGAGGTGGGAGATGTCGCAGGGAGGGTGGACGACATTTTCACATATTCATAAGGAAAAGTTTTCGTCTGCTTTTTGCTCTGACTTGCAAATGTCACTACCTCTTCCTGGTAAGTAAAGAAATAGGTGTGCGTGAGCCCCCAGAGGTGGGAGGAGTATAGAAAGACCACTTAAACCTCAGGCACAGTGACATGGAGGGATCGGATGAAAAGGAAGAGAAAGCGGAGATGAATATTATGAAGTGAAAGGCAGTCTAAGGAAGCTCAGCTAATGTGGTGTGAAGTGAAATATCTGAGAGCAAAGAGCAAACTGGAAGAGAATAGCAGAATAAAATAAACGCTGCAGTTTGTGCGAATGTGTGTCGAAGGGAAAGAAAATGAGAGCAAGGGAAAGGGCATGGGGCGAGTGGATCGCTGCAGGCCAGTTGGCAGTGACCATAACAGCTTTGGTTGGAAGGTGCTGATTCTGCTGCCGAGCTCTTGAGCCAGGGGCGTTTAACCTCAACAACATCCGAGAACTATGGCAGCATAAACATGTGAGGTGAATTACAGTAGTTTCTGCTGAAGACGATGACAGATGTCTGGAGCTAGAAAAGTGAACCAGGGCTAAAGACCTGGACTCGGTGTAGAGAAGCTAGAGCGAGCGGAGCAGGGTGCAGGAGATCCCTTCACCTAGGTGGGTGCGTCGTGGTTAAAAGTGCATCCCTTCGTAAATCCCTAAACTCACGATCCGCTGACTGGAGCTTTTCCTAACCGATTCCCCCAGGACTCGTTTAACTGTGGCACAGGCCCTGTTTTTTTTTTTTTTTTATGTATCACCTACACTGTAATGTGTGCCGCCGCTCATTACTGACGAAGCTGACTGTGATGCAGCCCTGGAAGTCCCAGGAGGGGGGAGGTGACTTCTCTGGTGAGGGGTTACAACCTTTTGTGGTTGCACACATCGACTCATCACCGCCACTATGTAGCCACAGCCTGAGGGGGGGTTAGGATTCACTGGTATTCATGTGCAAGTGTGTATACTTTCTAACCCCGTGGCGCTGTCTCATGTTCGCTGCAGATGTAGTTTATAATGCTTCAATAATTAGATGATTTGCGTCCCATTTCTAAGCAAGTCTGATAGCCAAGTGTCAGTCAGGGAAGTGTTTGCAAAAGAGGGAGCGAGCGAGAGTGGCAGCGAGCACAGCGCTCAGTGTGCTTTCTGCTGTGATTGTGTTCCAGATAGTGCTGCTGATGGCTATCTTTCGGAGAGAGCTCTATTGATTTGGCAGGGGTAAATAATTGGTTGGGTCTACAAGCTGTCATGTTCGGCCTGATTGCTGAGCATTGGTGGTCTCGAGCAGTTATCTTCCCCCATATCCCTCTCTGATCCCTCTCTAGCCTCCTTAGTCTATCTCTACATTTATTGATTAGCCCCTATATGACCATTCTCCGTCCCTAAATTTGGGGGGATAATCCCTGTCCCAAAGCACTGTGGTACGAGTTATCTGCTTTCCACTCCTTGTTCCGTCGTAGAGAGAGGGCAGGTACAATTTAGGGAGATGAAATGAGGAGAATACAGAATGAGGACATTTCGGAGGGGTCAGACGTAATGCAGGCTTGCATGGTCTGCCCTAGTTTTCCTTGACAGTAGACTACATTACCACAGCTACTGCAGAAAGTGAGGTGAAGTGGTGGACTGGGACTGTGTTTGGGGGGTGGGCGCGCCTGCAAAATTTCACTTTCGCAGGGACAATTTTGAACATGTGTGTTTCCGTGCTCTCTAATTAACAAGCCATAATGCAGTCACATTGAACACTAAATCAGAAGTAGAAAGAAAAACATCCTCACATGGACCTAACCGGCTCTGCTGGTTGCGTCCTGCCCCCCCACCCGGTGGGAGGTCCTGGGTGTCGGGTGTTGGAGGGCCCCCGGCTCCTGGCCCCGCATGCTGCTGCTGCTGCCTCACTCGGGGGGGTCACTGAGCCGAGGCGATGGGAAGACCATTAGCGACCCCGCTTGAGTGGCTCCGGGAACTACAAGCCCCAGCGAGCCAAGAAACAAGAGGGTTTATTATCCCGGCAAACCCGCAAAGCTTTCTTTTCAATGTATGGAGAAACGCCTCATTTACTGCATCTGGCGGATTTTTTTTGTTCCTTTTAAAAACCAACATTACATCCACATACTCGCTGCCAAACTCCAGAGGAAAAGGCTATAATATCTCCCTGTAGGGACTTAGTGATATTTAATTATGGTTTTGCAAAGCATAAATGTAATATTCCTGAATAAACGAGTTGGAAAGAGATACTAAAAGTGACTTAAAGAGACCCGGACATATTTTCCAGTGGCAAACTTATTTCATTGATTGTATTTTTACACACGTAGTTGCATATTTAGACGTAATGTGGTTTGACCGCAGTTTTAAACAAAGTATTTACAGTTTTATCAAACTTTATATTTAGCACACACACAGCTTGCACACATTTGAAGGAGTTCACGTTGAAGCTTTGGGAAGTTTCTGGAAAAAGCAGAAATGTGTCCGACGCTAAACTTCGTCCGTGTGCTGCCACGTCTGAGCCCCGGAACGGCAGCACTTCCTTCGGCAAGCTCAGCTGGAAAGATACCGGCGGAGGAGCGGAGCGAAACGGGGACACTCGTGAATAAATTAACGGTAAATTTAAACAAACACGCCTTTTCCTTGTTTTAAAAATTCCTACAAAGTCTTAGGAAATCATAACGGTTTAGGCTCAGCTCGACAGCAGAAGTTCCACCGTCACTGTTTCCTCAAAGTTAGCAAAGTGGGGGAAAAAACGCGAATTTAGCTTCCTAACTTCAAAACTTCAGCAAAATTAATTGAGCTTGCGTCTTTTTTCGCGCAGTGGGGGAAGTAATAAGTGAGGAGGAATTCACAAAATGAAGTTATGACATTGTTGGAGCAGTTTACAAAAGTAGGAGTTTTCCAGCGAAGAGGGAATTTCCTCAGGCTGTGTCTGGATGGCCTGAGAGCCAATATGAACGGTGCGCGATATAGCGGATAAAATATCACAATAAATCGCTTAATTTTAAGTTAAGATCGATAGTTTTGATATTTTTAATAGTAAAAATGACTGTAGTTTTTTTATGTTGAAAAGAGACAATTTATTCGTTACATTCATATTTTGTTTTATTTTTTTATTTTTATTTTTATTTTTTTTTTATTATTTTTATTTTTAACGTGTCCGGTCCAGCTTTACAAATATACAAATTACATTAATAATTTTAACAAACACATTAATGAGAAACACACAAATGAATAGTAATGATGAAATAATAATAATATGAAAATAAATGTACACTCATAAACAGAAATGAATGGGAATCATTTCACCTTGATAGACATTAAATAAAAAAAAGAAAGCCGAAGTTATGTGAAAGCTTACACTTTGACTTAATTTTCTTTATTAATCATAAATTCAGTTGTTACAGCACCATGAATATTCAACAAAGGGAGTAAACAAAGCAAAAAGACAACACAGAATATTCTGGTAGGGTATAAAATAAAGGTAAAATGACATAAAATAAAATAACATAAAAATTTAGATAATATAATAGGGAAGAAAGTCAACAAAATTTACAAGAATGTATAAGAGTGATACACGGGGGAATCCGTTGGCGAGGGTTTGGTTCTGAGTGGCTGGCCTGGACCGGGTATCGCCAGACAGAGGCCCCACACCGGCCTCAGCATGCACCCCAACGAAAAGTCCACCAGCCCTTTGGAGCAGGTTACCAAAAGCAGATCAGTGGACTTGGTGGGGTTATGTGCTGCACCGACAACCGCCTTCATCCCAGAAGCCAGACAGACGAGAGTGTTAAGTGGAGACCTATGTGTTCGCTCCTGGGAGAGCATCAGAGGGCCAAGAAGCTTCATTATCAACAAATATGATGGGCTGGGACGAAGCATTCATGTTTTGTTTTGTTTTTTGTTAATGCAACTGAACTTTGCGTCTTTGTTTTGTGCTTTCAAATACATTCAAGTGACACTATATCAAACATTCTATCGAACATCTTTCCTCTTGCTATTGATCAAGTGTCTATCATCAGTGCAGTCCAGGCATGCTGCAACACCAGCATTAGTAGCTGAACACTGTTAAAGATCAAGTTCAAATATTTGTAATGAGTAGTACGATAGTCTGCATGCATTATGAATGAATGAGAGGGATGCATTCTCTCTTATTGCCATGCACACACAAACAGTTTATCTATTGCAAGCAAATTGTTCTATTAATTCCCCTCCTTCCTGTGCTCTCCTTCAGATCTACCATGCTGCCCAGACTCCATTTCTGTCTCCTAATTTCTTTGCCAGTTCTCCTGGTGCAAGGCAGCGCCACTAATTCAGCCAAGACGAGCCCCGCTGCCCCAGCCAGCGCCCCACCTCGCCCGCCTCCTCCTCTGGGTGACCCGACCTGGGCACTGGGTCTGCGTCTGTACCAGGCCCTGCGCTCAGACTCGAGCTCAGTGAACACCCTCTTCTCCCCTCTGCTCGTGGCTGCCTCACTTGAAGCACTGGGTGAAGGTTCTGCAGGTAACACTGCCAGCCAGGTGCAAGACCTCCTCAAGCCAGCATCCCCCTCCAAGGCAGGAGCACAGGCTGGGGAGCTTCTATCTGAGTCGTTAAAGCGCTTCAGTGACGCTAACGGAACCAGCTTTCACTTGCATGCATCCTCGGCTGTGTTTTTAAAGCAGGCTCCTGCATTCAGCCAGGAGTTTGTCAAGAAAAGCCAGAGCAGGTTCAGGCTGCAGCATCAGACACTGGAGAAAGGTGACTCCAAGGCTGACCAGAAGCGGCTCCATGACTGGGCTAAGGCTGAGCTCAACGGGCTGGAAGGAGGTCCTTTGGAGACAGAGATCAAGGTCAAGGCTGGAGGCCTGATCCTGGCCAATGCCCTCCGCTTTAAAGGTGCGTACAAACAGTATAAGAGTGTAGTAAAATAGCACAGAATCATGTCATTTGTCTGTGCATCCAAAATACGGCTGCAACTAATGATTATTTTCACTGTTGATTAATCTGTTACATTCTAATTCAATATTCTAATATTTTATCGTTTGTTTGGTGGATTAAGTGTCAGAAAATGGATGAAAATGTGGATCAGTGTTTCCCAAAGCCCAAGATGACATCTTTAAATGTCTTGTTTTGTCCATAGTCCAAATATACTTAGTTAGCTGTCATAGAGGAGTAAAGAAACTGGAAAGAATTCAGATTTTAACAAGCTGAAATCAGAGAATGTAGTATTATTTAAATAAAAATGTTCACTGATTAGTTAATCATCAAAATAGTTGGTAATGAATATGTTTAATAGTTGGAACCTAATCGATTAATCATTGCAACTCACTGCAGCTCCTAACTAAGATTGCCGTGAAGCAGCTCTATATTATGAAAATGTAATTATGACGAGCATCCAGTGGCATTAAGTGGTTGGGTGTAGGCATGTAACATAGCAACCAGGTTGGACGGAGGGAGGCGAAAATAGATTAGTGTGCTTTATTATTGTGGAGTCATTTGGCATTATGCAACGTCTCTGCACTGGAGTTGTTTACTGCGTTGGATGAGACATCCTAGAATGCTAATATGGCGTGAGCATGGACCATTTTTAGTGTTCAGACTGCACAGGGAGCCTATCCGCCACTTTGCCTACTTGGCGGTGTGTGCCAGCATGTCCACCTGTGTGCACTGTGCATGTCTGCGTGTGTGCGTACATGCGTTGGACTCCAGCTGGTGGACACAGCAGATAAAGGATGATTCTGGGGTCTATCACTGAGAGCTTATTCATCTTCCATTGGGGGGTGATGTGTCATCTTAAATAATTGAGTAACAAGTGTCCAGACTCTCTCCCTCGGTGTCATGCCTAACATCTGTGCTTGGATCGCTCCAAGTCCGCGGCGGCACAGCTTGGCTCAGTTCTGTTCTTTGTGACAGGCTGCAGTGGTGGAAAGTAGTCAATATTTCTGTACAAATGCAGTCAGTTAGAAGCTCCATCTGTGATTTAACAGTTGCATCCCAAAAACATATCCATCTAATGCTTATCTGAAGTTCATTGTATCACTCTAAATGTGCCATTAAAAGTGAAATTTTACTTTTTGGGGCTGTCAGTATTTACAATACAGCTAGATTTTAGTTTATTGTGAGTCAAAGAAATAGCTTATCTTCCATTTTTGTGATAACTTTTCAGGAATTTAATCTACCATCTCTCTCGGTCTCAGAGCACAGTCGACGTTTGTGTGCCTGCTGACGTAGAATCTCATTTTTGTTTGCAGTCTCCACAAAAGATGATGATGTGTTAAATATATCCTTCTGTTTCACTTGTTCTTTCTGTGGCGTTTGTCTCTGTTTTTGTGCTTTTGTCATTGTTTATCGCGTGTCTAATCTACCCCTGTCTCCTCTTCCTCTTCTTCCCACATGTCTCCTGTTCACATCCTTATCTGCGACTATCTGCCTTTATTCCTTCTGTTTCCTCCTGCAGGTATTCTTTTTATTAGGTGGAAAGGCAGCTGAAGTGAAAACAGGTTGCCAACAGATAGACAGCCCTCCAAAAATAAAATTCCCTGACAGACTATACATTGATAAGCAATTTAATTAATTTTCTTTGTTTGATGCTTGGACTTCATCATGAAATTAGTTTTTCTGTGAAGCAACCCTCGTTGGTTGGTTCATTAATTTTGTGGCGGAAATACACAAATTAGATTATACAGCAGATTGCGGCGCACAAATTAGATCACGTAAAATTGGATTCTTTTAGTTTTGATTTATAATTTAAAAATGGTCAATAGTTTTCTTCTTGCTTTTACTAGCTGCCTCTGGTTTTGTTGTAACTTCATTTGTTTTTGATTTCCAAGTCCTGAAGCAGTTTATAGTGTGTGATAATGTAATGCTTTCTGAGATAGTGCTGGAATCTTTTTTGGCACTGAACGGGCATCTGCTTCTTTGCCCATTTTTGTTTGTTTCACTTCTCGTTCCCTTTAGTTAATTATTGAAGGGGGAGAATTAAAAAAAAAAAAAAAGCTCTTTGCCGTCCCTCCTTCCCTGGGCTGTACACAGCATTCAAAGAAAAGGAAGGTCAGGGCCAATTAGTAGTGGAACATGTTTGTAGTAGGGAGATGTTAAAAGCAAAGAGGACTCCAGAGAAAGAAGAGTAAAAGGAGAGATTTCTCGATGGGAAGGGGACAAAGAAAAGTGGGGTAAAAGAGATGGGAGAAAGTAAAAGAGCGAAAACCGAGAGAAGTAAAGGAAAAGAGGGTGGCCTGTGGGGAGAGCGAAAGAGATTGACAGACATAATGGAGGGATGTAAAAGGTCTGCCTTGGGAGTTCCAGTCCGCACTGGGTAATTAATTCAGGCCTTTTTTTTTTTTTAGATAAACAAACATTGGCAACAAAAGAAAATAACATGAAAAAGACAATAGAGAGAAACTTGCACAGGATAATGCAGCAACATATGGAAGTAGAAAAGGCAAGCCAGAACAACAAGTCCCAGCACATTTAACCTCTAATAATAGCTTCTGAAATACCACAACTTTGTGTAATCAAAAGTTGATGAGGGAGGAGAGGGAGCCAGTCGGCCTCATCGATCCTCATCTGGATTTTGCCTTAAGTTTACAGTATGAATTGGTAAATGTGAGAGCATTGGATTTCTGAGCTGCGCAATTGTCTCACTGTTTACTGCTGATGGATATTAATGGATTCGGGTTTCAAGGGATCTCGATGCGGCAGCATTGTTCCGTACAAGGGGACAGTTGGATTGCAAACCCAAAGCAGGCCTAGAAACAAGCCGACAACTGTGGCTGCACGGTATTGTAAAAAAACTGCCATTGCAATATTTTTTTTATATACTGCAATGTAAAAAAAAAAAAATAGGGATTTTCTCAAGATGACTTGATTAGTTCTATTCGGAAAGAATTAATCTTTGCTTGCTTTTGTAGGAGAGTGCATCTGCATAGAAAATAAAAAACATATTAAATAAAAGACGTTTCTTATATGGTGTAACACTGACAAGGCATCCAAAAGTGTTTTTGCTTTACATTGATCATGCAGAGCTTTGTGCTACTGATTTAAATGGTCAAACAAATTAGTCATGGTGTCTCCTGTCGACAGAGAAGTTGTTTTTGGTCAACATCATCCTTTTTGTTGGTAAAATATTTCCTTTCAGTGGATGTTGAGTTACTTTTTGCAACCAAATCTATCTTCTCAGTGTCCATATATTTTGTGCAGCCCAAAGCAGGCCTGCTTGTCTCGAAGCAAGCCAACACAGCCCCACACAGATCAACAGATTGCACTGTGCAGACTGCTGAGGTCATTAAATCCCTGCTCGACTTACACACATGTACTCATGCTGTGGAGAAAATTGTTCATCATCATGACATCACTTCAACAGCACGGTTGCCACTTCAGGTAACCTTCAGCCAGTTGTTTTTGAATTCCAGTGTGATCATATTTCTCTGTCTGGTAAACGAAGCAGAGTAAACGTCTGTGACATGTGCTAACTTGCCCGGGAGAGAGAATCACATGTCGTTTAGCCATGATTTGTGATTGGCTGGGGTCCAGTGAAGCCTGGGTGGTTTGTGGGAAAGTCACCTCAAATGCTGAAACAATTAGTCAGTTAATTAATCACCAGAAAACGAATCAACATTAAATTTGATCATCAGTTAAACAGTTTAAAACAACAACAATTTAACAGTCTAAGTTCACTTTACTTGTCATGAGGAGTACCAGGGAGCCTCTGAAAACAGTGATATATCTTCCTCAGCTCTGAAGCTTTTCAGGGTCTGAAAAAAATAACACAGATGGCATTTGGGTAGTAGAGCATAAACTAAGTCCTACTGAAGACTAAATGTTGGAATATTTTAGCATCTGCTCCCTATTTTTTGCCTTTGCTGCTTGACAACAACAAAATGTATTTTTAAAAAAAAAGAAGATACCTTTCTTTTTATCTAAGCTGGCAGCATGTTGTGGGAATGGCAGTATGGCTCATTGGTTGCTGAGTCCACCACTTTTGTTAAGCCTGCTGCATGGATTGGCATTAAATTTTGCACAGGTGTCCATCGTCCCCACAGGATGAATCCTTAACACTTTGGTGAGCCTCTAACCTTTCCTGTAGCGACACCAGCAGGTCAAAATAATATAACCATTTAGCACTGATTAGTAATGTTAGCAGTCACTTGAATATGCTAATCAAAGATGAAGCATGCTAAATAGTATACTTGTTTAGCATCACCATGTTAGCTTTGTGACTCTAAGCACATTAGCTGACTGATGTTTAGTTCTTTGTGCCTGAGTACACTTCATAGACTGTATGTAAAGATGGACAAACCTTCCGCTTTTGAAGCTTAGTGTTGTAGCTCCGGCTGTCACCATCTTGGCAGTGCCTGACACTGCTTAGCTCAAGTTTTTGTACCAGGCTGTAGGGTTGGGTATCTGGAACTGTTTCCAAAGTTCTCATTCAAAAGGAATCATATTGTCTCTGCTCATCAGTTCCAAAACAAATTTCAGTCACACTAGTTAATAAACAGTGCACACCAAACACCAACTATATATTAGCTGCTGTCAGTCTTTGCTGTTGGTCACGTGAGCTGCATGCCTGCATGTCTTTCCACTTTCCTAATGCATTTGCCTTAATAAATGATGAATCGAGAATTATCAGTTAAGCTACTCAGTCATTGCTGAGTTGCTTGATTTGTAGGTGAACAACACGAGTTGTCTCATAACAATCACATTTATTTACCAATTCAGCTACATAATGCTTTGCAAGGACAACATTGGACTCTGCTATTGTTACAATAAAATAGTTGAGATAAATCTGAAATTATTAACCAGAAAAGAGACGACAGTCACTACGGTTATCATTACTTTGCTGTGTTTCTGCTGGTAACATTCATCTTTGTTAAGTGGAGTTTCACTGGTAAAGTGTGCAGGAGAACGCTGTAGCAACTTTACATGAACAGGGACAACAAACACAATATACAGGTGTTCAGTAACCATAATGCTTTTTGAGGAACATTGGTGCTGACTAACGTAACTTTACTGCGCTAATAGCAGCACTTTACTGTGACTGCAGTAACATGCTGCTACCTCTCTCATACTCCAGGAGAGACTCACGTCCAACAGCAAACCCACAAGTCTCCATCACTACTGGTTAAAAACAAAGTTTTAGTTCATGTAATTATTAGGTGTTTGTTTACCTCGATAGACAGATGTGCAATGGTGGAGGAAGTACTCCTTTATCTAGGACGATCCTGTACAACGTGAAAGGGCTAATTCTGCACTGTAAAAGTCCTGCAGGGAAAATGTTACTGATAGTAAACGTATGTAGGTATAATGAGGAATATGTACGATGGTATTAAAAGTACAAGTACTCGCTGCGAACAAACAAACAAAAACGTCTTTTGTGACTGGTATGCTATAATACAGTACATTATTAGATTATTATTACTCATAAAGTAATAACTTCACCTGAACCTCAGACTCACAATCGGAACTATAGTTCGATAAGCAGAATTACCAGACTGTTAAATATTTATTTCTGCTGTAAACATGAGCATTTTAACATGGGGGGTCTAAATGGATTGGCTCACTTTTGGAGCCAGCTATAACTGGCCATTTTAGGAACAGTTTTTTTTATACTTGATCATGGAGGCTGCCACATAGGTGCACACTTCCATAGCTGCTAGCATGCTTGTAGAGTCTTAGTTTTCCTATTCATACGTTTAAATACAGCTTCTACGACTGGAAAAAAAGATGACAACAAAGCTGAATTGAAAAGAATCCAATTTCCTTCAGGGGAAGCAGTTACACTTTGGTTGTAGTGTTATTACTGAAACACTATAATATATGTTTATCTTAACCATGTGTGTAGGAGTTTTATCATTCCCCGTGACATGTTGTGACTTATGTTGTCTGAGGCTTTTTTTTTTCTTTCCGTAGAAAGCCAAATGGAAGTGGTAGCTTGTTTGGGACTCTGTCTTGGTTTTGTCTGTCTCTTGCAAACACCTGAACTTCTAGATGCCACCTTATGCTCTGCGATCCTACAGTGTGTGTTTTCCAAATGTATTTTCGGATCAGTTATCAACAATATTGACAAAAGACAATGCTGCCCAATTTCTCCATCAAATATTGAATGATAAAAATCAAGCAATCAGTCTCTAGTCTTTTTCATGCTGTCACATTTTTTTTTGATGGCCTTTCGCATTGTGTGGTGACTGCAGTGATCTTTTCAAATGATTAATCAATAAAAAGAACCACAATTAGCTGGAGCCATTGGCAGCTCAGTTGTGTCAAGAAGAGCGAAAATGCGACAAGCCATAATCTGTTGACCTCCATCCAATGTCCCCTGCTCTATTGAATGGAGCGACAGCTTTGAGAATGTGTTGTAAGGTTATTACAACAGTAATTCCACTACTCTCTGCCCCTCTTAAATTGACAGCTGTCAGGGGGTTAGCAGGGCCAAGTGGGAGGTGTTGAACAGTGGATGGGATGTGGTGGCTTTAAGGACTTTATAACTGCCTCAATATAGCACTCCAGCTCAGCAGCACAGAGAACAGTATACATTTTTTAATGGGCAGTACTTATTGATAATTCATGAACAATGTGAGGCAGTGCCACCGTGTATGAGGCCTACATGCATTATATGAACGTGGCATTGTTTAACCTGCTGTTGACTTTTTCACCCCTTTCAATCATTGATTATTTTTTCACAGCCTATCCACATCAGGCACTCTTTATTTAAAATGGCTTTCTTTGTTCAGGGCTGTGGGAGAGACAGTTCAGCGAAGAGAGCACAGATCTTCGTACCTTCTTGGGAAAGAAATACACCAAAGTGATGATGATGCACAGAGCAGGTAATAAAAAAAAACAAAAAAAACACCACAGTCTGTCGCTGCTGTACTCCTGCCAGCGAATAAATGCAGCGAAAAGGAATCAAGCTCTAAAATGGCTTGAGCATCTGTAAGGTCCAATCTGCTTCCCTACTATTTATCACAATGTACCTTATGATTTATTGAGCACGCTTTTCATATTTTATGTATTGTCTTAAAACAAGAAGGCAGAATGAATTTCTTCTATGGCTGCAGTAGAAGATGTTTGAGAGATGCATTGTATTCTTTTTAGTGCTGTTTATTCATTTTCAATTCATGAGAAAGATATTTGCAGTGATCTTTTGTCATCTTACTGCAGGTTGCATTCACTTTTATATTTGAAGCTAAACCAAGTCTAGCGTTTCCTACTTGTGTTCAGTTCATTCAGGCAAGTGAGAGCTCCAAATGACTGCAGTGACACAGCTGAAAAATGCAACTCTGAACCAACTTACAAGAGAACTGCTGTGGAGAAATACTGCACTGAACTACTGTTGAAAAGTAGAAACGTTATATTCTGGCTCTGCTTCTCTCCTTGACTCTCTGATTCTTTCTCCACCCCTTGCCTGCCTCCTGCTGCCCTCTCCTACAGGTTTGTACCGCCGCCATGAAGACATTGACAACATGGTGCAACTTCTAGAGGCGCCTCTGTGGGGAGGCAAGGCCAGCATCATGCTCCTGATGCCCTTTCACGTCGAAAGTCTGGCCAGGTTGGACAAGCTGCTGACCCTGGAGCTGCTGTCCAAGTGGCTGGAGAAGGCCAATGTTACTAGTGTGGCCATCTCGCTGCCCAAGGCAAACGTCACCAGCACACTCAGTCTGCAGGTTAGTACAGCAAACTAGAAGATCTCTGATTGCATGTAATTGCGCTGGTGGTGTAGACGTAAGAGATGGCATACACTCTTAATAATTAAAATTTAAATAAGTTGCTTCATAACACATACACTGAGTCTCATATGGCTAATAAATTATGCCTGTGCTCCATGACAGGCATAGGGCACTCTGACTCTGGCTGCTCTAAATTGCTTATTAGTGCTTATAGAAGATTGGGTTGATGCTATTTCTGAGAAGCCCATTGAGGATAATCAGAGTCACTGTGACACCTTGTTCCATTTCAGGGTCATGTCTTGATAAAAGCTTTATCTTCTCGATTTGAGATGCTTTTCATTATGCTAACATGTAGCTCCTCCCAGCGAAAATGTGAAAGAGGGCGATGCGAGGACAAGACACAAGGACGGAGGAGCTGAAGCTACCAAATGAAAAAAACCTTTGTTCCATAGTTTCTATCATAAAAATATTTGCTGGCTGGGGACCCTAGTCAATTCCAGTGTAGGAAAATCAAGCAGAAGCTAAGTTAAAGTGTACATATGCATTACAGTAACAATTAGAGTTTTATGCGCACTTTAAAAAACACAAAATAGTTGCCATGTTACAAAAGAAAGAACAGCCGAGCTTGATCAAATTCAGCAATAACAGATATGTATCATAACACTACTTTCGGAACTGAAGAGGTTGAGAATGCACATTCATAGGCTTATAAAACACCACAGCTTTATAATTATGAGCCTGCTGAGTGTCACAGTGTCCAGGAACAGACAGTGAATAGGAGAAATAACTGCCTCAGGGAGAAATTAGTTAGTGGTGTGAGCAGAAGCAGTCGAGAACAGGACAGGTGTCTTGGTGAGTAGCCAATGTGTGATGTTAGAACATTGTGTTACATCTCCATAAAATTTGCTGTCACACATCATGATATAACACAACTGGTATTTTCTCCTTAATACTAAAGCTATGATAGTAGCCTATAACAGAAATGAATGTTTGAAGATCTGCTGGTTTAAGTCAAATTGGGCTTGTTTCAAGAGAGAGGTGAGAGAGAGCTGATTCATTTAGAAGTCTGCACAGTTAGCATTCGGGTGAAACTGAACGTCTGACCAATTCGTAATCACTGGTCCTACTCGTGCCAATAAAAGAAGCTACTGCTGATGGTGGACCTGAAGTGGGTGTGTGAATTGAAGGAACTGAGCCAGCTATTGGTCTTGCATGTTCTGGCATGGATGTCCTAATTGGTACTTTATTGTGTCTGTGGGAACATAAGTCTCCTGTCTGATCGTTGCACACAACTGCACAGGCATGAAAACAGCTCCGCAGTTAGGAGAAGTGTGGACTCAGTGTCTTTACCGACTGGAGTTTGAGCGACCTGCACACAATCACTCATCATGATGAAAAATTATAAAATGCCAAAAAGACCACTTATTTAACACAGCTGCTCAGACTCACTGCCACGTACTTCTGTACAGTGTGCTGAGTCGGAGATGACTCACTTATGTGACGTAATGTGACCCATTATGAAAGTGTTTTTAAGAGCAGTACATGAAAAGACAATTTTTTGCATCTGAATTTCTGCCTTTATGAGTTTTGACCAAGAGCCTGTGCCTATGAAAATCCAAAAACATTAGCAGATTTAAATTTTGCTGCTGCTTCCATCGAAGTAGCTCCGAGCACTTTTGCAATGCTTGGAATGTTTCCAGTCCGTAAACATGTCAAGCTATCTGTAATAAGCGCTCAATCTCTTAAGCTTTGTTGCAAGACTTCTACTTGATTTTCATTTTGGGGAAGGAGAAGAAGTCACAGGGTGGGTGAGGAGTGACAGTTGTGTTTTTGTGGTGTTTTCACCTGTAAGTGGGTGCAAGGTGCTGTTGGACCACCCTCTTGCCGCCGCGTCATATTTCATATTTCAGGTTGTTTGCGCAGCATGTTCTCCCTCAGACACCTAGGGACATTACAGTAGAACCCTACCTTTACAGTCCAACCCTGGAGATTAATTCCCAGTTTACAACCATGTGAATGTTGAAGGAAACTATAAGCTTGCTGATTTGATGTGCTTTGTCCCATTTTGCAACCTGCAAGCTGCTCCACTGTGAAAACTGCCACTTCTCATTGGTAGCCACGGAACCACCTCTTGTCACCAGTGATGATCCTCGACTTGGTCATTCTGACTGCTGACTGACAGAGAATTTATTTGCTCCTTTCTCCGGTTTGTGGTGCACCTGCCACCACTCGTAGAAACGTGCAAGACAAGTCCTCCTGTTGATAGTGTGATGTCACATGGTCTCCTGACTTGTGACACTTACTGCTTGCACATGTTGCACATGCTTGACTGGATGCACCACAGACAGTCACATAACTTATTAATCATCCCTTCTATGTCTCAAAAAACGTTTAAAGCTGTACTTTTATATTTGCTTTCCAAAACAACATTACATACATGTGATATCAATATATGGAAGGTCCCCCATGATGGTGAAGTGGAAATGATTTCTGGGCCACAAGAGGGAAGAGGACGCAAGTAAGCATAAGTTGATGTAATGAAAAGCTCCCCTGGTCTTTCATTGTCCGCTACCTTCCATTACTGTTGATATGCATGCTATTTCAGCGCAGCCACATCCTTGGGGGGATACTAACTATCCCCCTTTTACTTGCTCTGGCAAATCCATGAGCAAGTATGGATCGCCAGGTGCTCCATCCTTTCTAGAAGAAGCCCGTCTTGATTCAGCTTCATTTCAATTGTCACCTCAGCCACACTAGAAATGGACTTTGCAGTGCTTTCCGTCCAGAGGGATCTGTAGGTGTTACTGTGGGAGTAATGCCGTTTGATACTTTTTTAGTTTGTCTTTTGATCCATGTTCTTAGCATTTGTACTCACACCAGTGGACTAAGGTGCTTTTACAGTACATTGGATGTGCAGAGGAGAGGCGGTTACTCAGCTTTTTAATACTGTAGTGGAATCTGAAAGAGCCTCAATTCTAGTTTCTTCTTTCATTCATTTCCTGACTCATTTTTCACTTCACCTGATATGCTTTCTCATATCACCAAACGTTGCAGTCATCATTCTCATTGTTTCTTTGCCTTCTTCATCTCTTCTTTGGTTTTTCCATGTCTCTTCTTCTTTATTCTCTGTCTCTGTCTTGGCCAGCTTCTCTTCCTGACTTACACTCTGCTTATCTTGGATTTCTTTTTCTTTACCATTGAGTGTAATTTTTCTCTATTCATTTCTCTGTCTTTCCTCCTCTTCTGCGCTTGGCTCATTCTACCTCCTCTCTCCTTTGTCCTTGTGCCTTGGTGCTTTGTCTTGGTGATGTGCTGTGGTTCTTGCTCGTCATTTTTTCCCCAATTTTTTTTTTTTCCCATGCGTGTTACACCTGTGACCTCTGTTTCTTGTCTAGTTTTCTGTCTTCCTCTTCCACTTCCTGATTTAGTGCTCTTAGTAACTGAAGCAGAAGCCTTGCTTGCCCCTTCCAGCTCGATGCTGACTTTGACTCAGATGAGTTCAAATGTCACTCCTTCCCACTCTTCTCCTCTCTCCCTTGAGGTGATAGGGCGTCCAGCTGTACTCATAGCATCAGGCATCATACCAGCCTTTAGCAGTGACTCAAACCCTAGCTGCTAGGAAGATCAGAAGGACCTCAGGGCCTGACCATGACCTGTACTTCTCAGTGGGTTCTGGAAGCCTCCCACAGACCTCCTTTTGCAGGAGCTCAAAGGTTATGCCACAGCCCAGCTGGTAGTCTGGATCTCTGCTCCTGGTGCCCTCAAAGCCAGCAGGTAGCTGGTCTTAGTCAGGAGAGAAGAGACTGGAAAGAGTGCCAGGCAGACAGGCAGCAGCTTAGTGGCAGCTGATGCTAATGTGAGTTCATGTGGGTTGTCAAGGTTCACACAGGCCAAACCGGAGGGTGTGTTGGGCGGCTGACTGAGAATTGTTGGGCTGTTGAAAAAGCACGTATTTGACCAGGAGCAAGTGTACACACAAGATGCTAGAATCACACAGGCGTCCATACGGTTGAGAATATCCTGCTCAGGCGGTTGGGGTGTAAAGAATTATTATTGTTATTTTTTTTTATCACAGGGTCACTGCACTGGCATTAGATACAGTCATAGTTTGCTTTGTTTTTTTTTAAAGATTATGTTGTTGGGCTTTTCGCCTTTATTTGATAGGACAGTGTAGTGAGACGGTGAAACGTGGGGAGAAGAGTGGGGGAAAGACATTCAGCAAATGAGCCATTGGCTGGATTCGAACTGCGGCCACTGCGTCTAGGACTTTAGGTCCTGTACATGGTTCGCAGTCTTATCCGGTTGAGCCACCGAGGCTGCAGTCATAGTTTACAGGTTAACGTTTTCATTTTTATTTGCCAAATATACTTACAAGGGATGTCCTAGTCAAGCTTTTTGCATTTGACATCCTGTAACTGATGGCATTAACAAAAATGTTTTGACCTACTAAATTCGGCACATCTTTTTTGTAGAAGCTTCATGACCCAAATACTTACGGTCCTGATACGATTTTTTGCTCCACTGATGTTGGCACTGTACAAACCGTTTCTTCCTTCACAGACAAACCTTTGCAAAAAAAAAAAAAAAAGCCAAAAGCTTGTACAGAGCACACCGACCTGGCAACAGCCAAGATTAGCTTTGGTCTGTCATCACATTACTTTCAGAATTCATGTAAATTAGTGAGAACTTCAGTGACCTTTCAAGGGCAATGTTTGCCATTTAAACTTTAAAAAGTGCTAAGTCAAAATGAGAAGCTGTTACATGAATATTTTGTACCCAACTATTTTCTAGTAAGGAGAGGATCTTTCACCTAGTCCGATTTCAGTCATGCAATCCTTTCTGTTAATCAGACGACATCGGAATGTGTTGGTCTCATGTCTGAATGAATTCTTCAATTCTCTGTAAAAGTTGTGACGGCAATCTCACAACGCTAGATAGTGTTACATTTCCGCCTCACTTTTAACACATCAGAAGTCGGACACTACATGCTGCCACAT